GTTTGCGAGAACAATGCTGACTGAAAATACCCTCCAAAACCTAGCATGACTTCCCAATTTTATCTTTCCTGTGAAGAGTGACTGGAGTCATGGTTCAATGATAGACCGATAGAATACTTCTGCTAATGGGAGAGGGGGAAACGGTGCCCGGTTTTCTTTTCAGTGATATTTTGCTTAGTTTTACAGAAAGATCAGCCTTTATCTCCTGAGCACAAAAGCAGGGCACTGACAGAGCATGGAGAGCTATGCTTGTAGGTGAAGACGAACTGAGACCCCAGTGGGTGCTGAGTCATACAGGTGAGCGTCATAGAAAAGTACATGCCACCACCATACATCTGTCAGAATGGCTAAATTTTTAGAAAAAACTGAGGATACTGGTCATGATGAGGATGTGGAGCAACAGGAACTCTCATTAGTTGCTGGTGGAGTGCAAAAGGGCGCGGTCTCTTTGGCAGGCGATTTGGCAGTTCTTATAAAGCCAAACTTAGCGTTAGCTCACAATCTGGCAGTTTTGCTCATGGCTACGCACCTCAATGATTTGAAAACATGTGTCCATACAAAAACCTGCATGTGAATGCTTACAGCTGCTTTACTCAGAATTGCCAGACACGGGGAGCAACCAAGATGTCCTTCAATAGGCAGATGGGCAGACTATGGTATATTATTCAGTGATGAAATAGAAAATGAGCATCAAGGCATGAAAAGACATGGAGGAACCTCAAATACCTGTTGCTAAGTGACAGAAGCCAGTCTGCAAAGGCCATATGCTGCAGGAGGACAATTATATGACATCCTAGGAAACGCACAACTACAGAGAGAGGAACATGGTTGTCACCTGATCAGAGGCGAGAGAATGGTTGTAGAAATTTATAAGAACCAGCAGGCAGCTTTTCTTCTCTAGCTACCTGAGGACGGACTGTCATTATGGATGACGACAGGGGCCAGGGATTGAATCTGCAACCCAGGCACATGCCCTGGACCGGGAAAGGAACCTGAAACCCTTTGGTCCATGGGCCGATGCTCTAAACACTTAGTGCAACACTGTTCAGGGCTGAATTTTGTTTTTTAAAAATAGGTGTACAAAAGAACAATTGAGGAAATCTGAGCTGTGTTGGGTGTTAAATATTATGGAAATATTCATTTTTTAGATATGAAAAGAGTACTGTGGCAATGAAGGAGAATGCCTATTCTTAGGAGAATGCACACGGGGGCAATTTAGTGTCCAAGTCTCATATGAGAGGGAAAACAAATATGGCAAAAAAAAAAAAAAAAACACCCCAAAAACTTATAAATTGTAGGGACAGAAGCAGCAGTGAACTCCGAGGGGGTGGAAATTCTCCAGGCAGGAAAGACACCTCTACCAAAGAGTCCCTCCATTCCTTCGCGGCCTCACTGAAGTAGAAATCATTCATCTAAAGCCGACACCCTGTTAGTTTTTGAAAAGTGAAAAATGGTTCGTGTCTATGTCTTCTACACAAGGTCTAGAATAAAACACATCATTGATTTTTAGAATTTTTAACGTTTGGCATGGAGACCAAGGAGTATGGTTACTGCTCCTTCAGAATAACAAATGACAGAGACCGTTTAACATAGGATTAGCAAATGGTGGCCTCTGGGCTGAATGCAGCCCCAGACGCATTTTTGTTTGGCTTGCATGGCTTTTAACAATCAGGGGATTTTATAAGAAATACAGACGTCAGCTGGATGCAGGAACGGCCACAATAATGATTGTTGCACACACATACATGTACTTTAAGTTACTACACATATAGCACATTTTAAGTCCTGCTTGAGAAAGACAGGGCTTCTGGCGATTGGAAGGGAGTCAGGTGGGCAGAATCCAAGGACTCAAAGATGTCTGGTGAACTTGGACTATTTGAAGCTCTTCTCTCCCACTGATCCTTTCCCCATCGGGAAAGCCTAATGACCCGCCCTAGTACTCAGCAGGATTTGTGACCCAGGTCCATATGGGGCTTGGGACTAAGGACAATAGTCAAAAAGTGCAGAGGGAAGCCATCAATTGTATTCAAAGGGAACTGTGATCATTACCCATGCTATCTGTGGTATACTAGGAAAAGTCAGGAAAGGCTATGCATAGAATTGCAAGTACTTGACAAGGAACTAGAATACCAATTTGGCTCATGCAGAATTGGTTGCTATGGTGAGGCCTGATCTGAGACACTATGTTCAATATGTACGTGTAGGACGAAACTCTAATGGTGTACGGGGCTGGCTGGCTTAGACCTGAGCCTAGTGCTGGCCCCGGCTGCAAAGAAAAGTAACTGACAGTGAAAGGACACACACTGGAAGAGGAAGAGACGGAGAGATGGCCGAAACTTCGACTGTCTAAGCGTTCAGGCCGCTGAGAGCCGCAGGGTAACACGGTCCCTCAGAGCTGCTCTGAAGCCTGGGTGGCGGTGTGTCCTGGATCTCCCTCTGGCTCCTCCCCCTTATTCAACCTGTAACCTTACTGGAAACACAGCGGAGTGTTACTTATGACAGTTTATGGTCACAATCTGTTCCCAGGAGCCCATGCAGACGGAGAAATGAAAAGCAGAGCATGAGAGGAGAGGAGCGTGGCACACTGAGCTCTATGCTTTTATCGATCAATCTCATTTCTGAACACTCTCTAATTTGCTTCTGAAACATGGTATTCTCATAGTTCTTTCCTTTCCTAGAATAATCCATAACCAGATGGAACAGAAGAAACATGAGAGCTTGTTTAGCACACAAAAAGAGAACTGAGCCAGGCCAGCGTGGCCCAGTGGTTGAGCGTCGACCAATGGACCAAGAAGTCACAGTTCAATTCCCGTTCAGGGCACATGCCCGGGTTGCAATGCAAGAGCAGCCAATCGATGATTCTCTCTCATCACTGATGTTCCTATCTCTCCTGCTCCCTCTCCCTTCCCCTCTAAAATCAATAAAAATATATTTAAAAAAAGAGAGTTGAGAAAATGGAGGACCATAGAGAAGAGATTTCCTTTTTATTCCATTCCTGTCAGTGATTCTCTCTTTCCCACTGTGTAATGGATGGACGTTCTTGAATAATCTGCCCCCTTCCTCCCTTCAAACTCATAATTTCAGCCTCCAGATGTACACACATCTGCTTTTAAATTTTTATTGTAAGTGCTGAACTTTTCCCCTCCCTACAACATGAGACCTTCGACTACCTGTGAAATGTATACCTGTAAAGTTTCTCAATGCTTAAAACTCGACATGGTTAACATGACACCTGTTAGTCATTGGGTGGCTTGCGGGGGTGGGAGGGGGAGGCTGCATTTCCAGTCCTCTGTGCATGGGGCAAAGTGGGTTCTGGCAGCATAGCCTTTTGACAAAGATGTTGGCTGCTGGAAGTTAGGCCGCTGTGCCCGGAAATAAGGGGGTACAAGAGGATATGGGCCATGTACTGAGAATACCTGCGACCACTTGCATCCATCCTGCGGACACTGTCCTTAACCTTTGCTACAGTTGTTCAACATCATTCATCTCGATGACATTGGGTGAATTGTGATAATGTGATAAAGGGAACCGTGAATATAAATAGACACCAGTCGGCATAAAAAAGGAAGATAGGTTGGGAAAAGAACTTCAGTTCAAAAAGTTGTTTAGCTACTGAATTTATATTCTGTGCCTGACTGATCTCCACTTAACAGAAAACAAGAAAAAGAAATAAAATGCATACTGCAATTTATGTTTGTTTGGTCCCACACTTCATTAGACTTACCTAGGCAAAATCTGATCCTCCCCCTTATCTGCCTTCACCTCCTACTTTAAGGCAGCAGGGTCATTAGGCTTCAATTGTGATGGTATATAAAATTACAAGTCTTTGCTAAGAATATATACAATCAAGAATGCCTTAGAAGAGCATTTTCTTATTAGCTGCAATCCATTAGCCTTCTCCTGAAAGGGAAAAAGGAGAAAGAGAGGGGGGGGTGGTGGTGGAGGGAGTTATGGTGGAGAGGGGTGCATAATGAAGACAAATCTCATCATGGGCAATAATTCCAGCAATCATTCTGCAGTGATATTCTACATCATTTAGCAAAGCCAGGAATGATTTACTTTCTCTGTACCTCACAACCAACGAGACTCCTGATTTAACAGAACACAGCTACAAAACAATGTGCTTCCTACCCCCTTTTGCAGAGACCAAAAGGGCTTAAAAGACACTTTAATAATATTCCTCATACAGTCTACCATGGGACCAGCACAGGCCTCCCTCATTAAGAACTAACAGAGAAAATCACCTTTCACATGAAGAGATGTGGGGTCTAGCAGGATCTTTCTGAAGCATTAGAACAAACAGTCACTTGTTAAGTAGACTTCATACAGCAGGAGGAAGAAAATGAAAAAGAAATCTTGTATTGAAATTCAAAGAGACACCTACCAAATTTCTCATTTCAAATAAGGAGTTGATTCCAGAATCTGAAAAGCCCTTGGAGACAGTGAGCCACCGAGTGGGTGGAGATCAGAGGTAAAATATATTGCTGAAAAGAACTGGGAGCAGCATACATTTTGCATTTAAAAGAGAGGTAATGCTTTGCTTTCATAAAGTAATTCACTACTGTTCCTCTACCTGATTCCATTTCTGTATAAAAACACGCCTTATGAAAATAAATAAGAAAATATATTAGGTGTCACCACATTGAAGCAATGAGCGGGATTAGGCACAGAGGAAGAACAAGCCTTATGAAAATAAATGAGAAAACACATTATGTATCCACAACAGTGAAGCAGTGAGTAGAATGAAGACTAGAGAAAGATCACACAGAATGCAGAGTCTTTACGCTTAAAAAAAAAAAAAAAAGCTTCCATTAATCTATTGGAAGCCTTGGCTCCTCTAAGAGAAAACTGTACATTTGTATAAAACGTAAGATGGGCGTAACATTTCAAGGGTTTCTACAGCCTCGAAGGTTCCTGTGATCACACTGTCAGCCCATGAGCGGCTCATGAACCCACCCGGGCTGGTGCTCCTCTGCTCAGAGAGAAGCGAGAACACTCACGTTGTACAGAGGGATGGTCTTCATCACTTTGTACTGCTTCGTGGGGTCCATCTTATAGAGGTGGCGATCAGTGACGAAAATGGCGCGGTCTTCCACCTTACTGAACCGATTGACCTGCAAGAAAACCAACCAACAACTGTACCATCTCATGAGGCATGAGGCTCAAGGATCTGCGAGGAAAACGACGAGGGGCAGAGGCGGCTGGTGGCGGGGATGCAGACTTTTAACAGACGGCCACTCTACTGGATGCAGTGGAGATTCAAAAGCAGGAGCATCGTCCAGATCTGTGGAACTTTACAATTTAAACTCCGTGATTTTAGAACGTAAGGGGGAAAAAACAAAAACCACACACACACACAATCCCACAATAATTAAAAGACTCAAAACAGCCGAAACCGGTTTGGCTCAGTGGATAGAGCATCAGCCTGTAGACTGAAAGGTCCGGGTTTGATTCCGGTCAAGGGCATGTACCTTGGTTGCGGGCACATCCCCAGTAGGGGGTGTGCAAGAGGCAGCTGATTGATGACTCTCTCATTGATGTTTCTAACTATCTCTCTCCCTTCCTCTCTGTAAAAAAAAAAAAATCAATAAAAAATATTTTTAAAAGACTCAAACCATGTAACTCAGACACTATTAAAAAAAATGAAAAGATATCCCACCAAATAGGAGAAAATGTGTACAAATCATATACCGGATAAGGGACATGTATTTAAAACATATAAAGAATAAAATGTATATTGTATTTAGAATACATAACTCAATAATAAAAGGACAAAAAAATATCCACAATTTTTAAAAAAAAGGGTTTTTAATTGTGAATACACATTTCTCTAGAGAAGACATACAAATAGCCAATAAGCTCATGAACACATGCTGATGCCATCAGCCACCAGGGAAATGTAAATTGGAACTACAATGAGATGTCACGTCATACCCATTGGGACGGTGATGACAAAGAGGACGGACTGTAACAAGTGCTGGTCAGGGTGTGGAGGAACTGGAGCCCTCACCACCACTGGTGGGAATATAACGTGGTGCAGTCACTTTGGAAAAGTCTGGCAGTTCCTTAGCTAGATAAACAGAGTGTTACTATATGACCCAGAAACTTTACTCCTAGGTGGGAATTGACAATAGAATCACATAAAAACTTGTGCTTGAATGTTCACTGCAGCATTAATCATAATAGCCAAAAAAGGAGAGACTACCCAATGTCCACCCAACTGACATTGGCCTGGGTAAATAAAATGTGATGTATTCACACAATGGAATATAAATTGGCAATAGAAAGTGAACTACTGATACATGCTATAACATGGATGAACTTTAAAAATGTGTTAAGTAATGTCAGCCAGTCACCAAGTACCTTATACTGCATGATTCCATTTATATGAAATATCCAGAAGCAGCAAATAGATAGAAACAGGCTGTAGATTAGTAGTTACGTAGGGCTGGGGGAGATGAGAGATCTGGTGGGATGATGGCTAAGGAGTGTGGGGTTTCTTTTTGGGGTACATAAAAACATTCAAACGTTGATTGTGGTAATGGAGATCCAACTCTGTGACTATACTAATAACTGCTGGATTGTGTGATTTAAAATGGTGCATAAGATGCTGTATGAATTATATCTCAATGAAGCTGTAAAAGAAAAAGGTAACCTCCATATGAAACAACTCATTCTGCCCCTTTCCTAATGCAGATTAAAATCTCTAGAACAGTGGTTGGCAAACTCATTAATCAACAGAGCCAAATATCAACAGTACAACGATTGAAATTTCTTTTGAGAGCCAAAATTTTTTAAACTTAAACTTCTTCTAACGTCACTTCTTCAAAACAGACTCTCCCAGGCTATGGGTATTTTGTGGAAGAGCCACACTCAAGGGGCCAAAGAGCTGCATGTGGCTTGAGAGCCGCAGTTTGCCGACCACGGCTCTAGAATATAATGACAGTGTGCCATTAAATATACTTGTTCAAAAATGGACAGTGCCTTCTTGCCTACAGCACAAATAACTGTCTCCTAATTATGAATACCCATAAAGAGAAGGGGCCCTACGAGAAGGTAGTAAGTGCCACCATAGGGTTCAAGCAGAAGCTCAGTGGATATCTGATGTGGTGTGGTAGAGGGGGTTTGTGCTGCAGTAGGAAGTCTAGGGATTCCCAAGGTCCCTTTCTTCAGATTCTGTGATCTTTTACCCAACTTTCAAGTTTTCCTATCTGCCATAACTCTACTTATTTATTTCTTCTGCTCCTGTGTGATGTTATGTTCTCTATGTTTCTGATTTTCTCCTTCCTTTTTCTTTTTTATCTACTATGAATATTTCAAGATATTGCTTAAGTTTTCATTCCATTATAAAACCTTTTCAATTCATATAGTGAAAAACAATCAGTTTTCTCTGAACTTCTATCCACAGTTGTAGGAGAAAGATTATAAGTAGAATCAAGAATGAAATTAAAAAATTAACATTGATATTAAGGGCACAAGGTTTTTAAAGCAGAATACTTGAGAATAGGAGGAGCACTGGCGTGAGTGCTTTTGCTGATGTAAAACCCTGGATCCATCGTTACTCTTTGTTCAGCAAGAAAGACAGGAAAGAGCCGAAACCGGTTTGGGTCAGTGGATAGAGTATTGGCCTATGGACTGAAAGGTCCCAGGTTTGATTCCAGTCAAGGGCATGTACCTTAGTTGCAGGCACATCCTCAGTAGGGCGTGTGCAGGAGGCAGCTGATCGATGTCTCTCTCACATCGATGTTTCTCTCTATCTTTCTACCTTCTTCTCTATAAAAAATCAATTAAAAATATTTTTTTTAAAAGAAGAAAGACAGGAAAGAATGTTGGCCAATATGTCCAAAATACCAATACAATCAAGTTACATCTATCCTATAGGTTCTCCTTACGAAGTTGAGTTACTCTCTATATCTCTCTGTTAAAAGTGCTAATTTTTCATTTAATAATTGGAAAGCTTGAACAATTTCAAGGACAGCTGACTTGTAATTTTTAGACCATGAATGCTCGTTATAAGAAATATACTTGTTAAAATAGCATTGTAGAACACTGTGTTTTTTTAAACTTACAGTTGAAGCTATGTTTGGCAAGAGATTGATGTTACTTATTAAACCTTGTGATAAGTAATCGAATGACTATAACCCACTAATCTAGGTCTAATTCAGTCAATATAAGAGATTATACAGATGGTTTTAAATTGGAATACATAAAAAAGCTGCTTTCCTTATAAAACTGCTACAGATAAGTTATCAACTTAGTTATAAAGAAGACTAACAAGTTCACTTCAAAACAAAGTAAAAATCTTACATAAAACTGTATGATTTCTTTCTTAATGAAGGTCAGGAAACAGCAAATTGAGTGTATGGTAAAGGAGATGGGAACAGTGGCTGCGTTTGGTGGCGGTGGGGACGGGGCTTGACGAGGTTTTTAGGGTGATGGAAAGGCGTTTAAATTTACACAGGGATGTGTCCTAGTCCAAACTCACCTGCACACTTTAGATAATGAGTATTTACCTGTATATAAATTATCTACCACGATACAAAGACAAAACAAAAACAATGTAGAATCCCAACTATCCATGGCAGGTTTTTATTTCCTGCCTTAGTATTTCATCAACAGTAAGTTAGCTCCTGGTGGGTCATGATCTTATGGTGACTTTTGCCTTGTACCTCACAGCCCCCAACAGAGAAGTGGGCAACCTATAGAGTGATACTACATCCCTGCTCATCTGTGGGTTGTGAGAGTCCTTTAAATCAGTGATTGCCAACCGGTGGTCTGTGAACACTGGTGATCCATGAGGTATGGAAGTTGGTGACCGCTGGCTTAAGGAAACCTTTGGAGCAGCGGTGGCCAACCAGTCCATGGACCACTGGTGGTCCGTGAGGTCCGAAAGGTTAGTGACCGCTGCTTTAAGTCCCACAGGATAATTTTAAGAACTCTCCTTTCTCCCATGGGCCAATCGGTGTTGATATGGGAGCTGTCAGATGGGAAAACGGGGAGAGGCTGCAGCGCGTGGGAGGTTGCATAATGTCAGAACAAAACCCCCCAGTGGCCAATAAGAGCACGGGTGTTCAATAGCTAATGTCCCTCTTGCCCAGTTTGGACCTGGAATACCGTGACTGCTGCACTGAAGAAAAGGGAGCTGTGGGTGGCTTGCTTTTATGTACCTGGGTCTGTGTGCCCCTTTATGAGTAAGCCACCTCTTTAATAAAGAGATCTCTAGCACTGAGGCACGATAGAAGCATGCTGATTTGAAATTATTTATTCTCCTGGTTGGAATGGGTGAGATTTATTTGTATGCTATCTTTTCTCATAAAGTGTTTTTTTAAATGAGTTTAATTTTTCTTAATTTAAATTCTTTATTGATTAAAGTATTTCATATGTCTCCTTTTCCTCCCATTGACCTCTCCCTGGTTGCTCCCACTGCCCAGCACATGCCCACATCCCCCTACTGTCTGTGTCCATTGATTATGCTTATATGCATGCATACAAGTCCTTTGGTTGATCTATTACCTTTCCTCTGCTTCCACTCTCCCCTGCCTTCCCTCTGAAGTTTGATAGACTGCTCAATGCTTCTATGTCTCTGGATCTATTTTTGTTAACCAGTTTATGTTGTTCATTATATTCCACAAATGCCATCAGAGTCTTAAGTTTCATGGCCAGCCATGTACACAGAGCGCTGGCAGCCAGACGGTCCTGAGTGAGATGTAACTATGAAAGAGAACTGTGCCTGTATTTGCCATGTGCATTACTTGGTAATAGCTACCCTTAAAAATCTTTAAATTCACAATTTTGTTGTGAGAATTGGAACTGAATTAATTTTTCTACATGTGTTAATCCAGTGTACATCTCCTATTAAAGAAATGATACTAGTAAATATTCACTTGAATTAAGTGATTTGATAAATATTTTCTTCCCCCAAATTTACAATGTGCATTTTCAAGTACTTTATAAGTTGCTGATGACATACAAAGGAATGACAGAAAGCCCTTGGTTATGGTACAAATCTGAGACTAGGACAGCAGATGAGTGGAGACAAATAAGAAGGTTGTAAGTGAAAATATATATAAAGAAAATAAAATAAAATAATGGGATTGGGAGGAAATGTGCGTGT